AAAAAAAAAAAAAAAAAAGAATTTGATACAATCCTGTGATCAGTCATTTGATAATTAAGTCAAATAACTCCTAGTTCTTAATATAATCTTTACTGTCCCCACCATAACCACCATGCTTACCCAAATGCTTAGTGTCACTAGTGAGCTTCAAGTCTTAACTCAAGCACTACTTCCCTTTCTGGTCCAGCTCCCAGGCTTCTTTGAGGATTCTATCTAGGCCAGGCAGATTCAATCACTTCCTTCTTTGTGACACTATTGTTCTGAAGATACCTCTACTATAGCATTTGTTAGTCTGCATTATAATTATTTATTTATACAGCAGTGTCTCCTAAAAGATTATAGTGTCCTGGGTCTTAGCCATATTTGTCATCCCATGGCTAGAATGGTATTCATATGTGTCATCTCTGGGGCTGTATTCTCATGAGATCCTCAGGTGATTCCTACACATTTTACACTTTCATTTTACATATCCTACATGGACCGCAGAGCAGTCAGCATGGAAAGGGGCCCAATATTCCCCATCTCTAACGGGCTCACTGGTAATGTTAATACTGCTGGTCTTACAGACCACACTTTCAGAAGAAAGAGTCCAGAGCAGGAGTCAACAAAACACAACCTGCAGGCCAATCCTAAAAAAAGAATGAAAACAGCCAAGTTCATTCATTTACAACTTGCCTTGGCAGTGGAGGATGGAGCCTACCCATCTGTGGGGTAGAGGTCTTAGTCCTGAAGCTCTGTAACTGACTTTTGTAGGTATAAATGCATTTCTATAAGTCAAAGAAAGTATAAAAATCAAAAGAAGCAAGATAAATAGTGTACTGGTACAAATTCCATATGATGAATGTTATCATTATGTATATCTAATATGTACCAATAAATATCTTGCTAGAAAAATCATTTTCTTCCCATTCTACTATCTCTTAGGAAAAGAGCTCTAAAATTCACAAAATTATGCAAATATTTGATTTCAACTCTTATTTAAAAGCTTATTTAGAAGCATTATGTCTACAATTAGGAATTTTACACAATTATTTTCCAAAGAGTGTGTTTCATTTACTGTACCTCAAGGTTCAAACACTGTATCTTGGTTCCAAAAATTATTATGATACATATTAATGAGTCAGTCTCTATTTTTCAAATGCTATTTTCAAAAATACAAAGAAAAACCTAATGTGAATGTCCACTTCGGAATTCTGGTGCACACAAGAGCTCGTGGCAACACACAGGAGCTCTGTTATCACTCTCAGTTTCCACAAAACAAGACAGGACGTAAGAAAGATGTCTGCTTTCTAAATGTAATTTCTAGAATTCTCTATGTAGAGGACTCGACATGAGTCCAGGAACATCAAATTAAAAATTCCAATCATTCAAGTAGTAAAAGGCCCAAAGGTTAGAGAGGTCTAACTAAGGAGGTTCCAAAACACAAAGTACACCATAAGATACTTAGAATTCTAAGTTTACAATTATGTTCGTTTTATTTCACCCGTGGCTTATTCTCCCCTTTCCAAAATCCCACCATAAAGTATTACCCTTCCCTATCAAGTTTATATTCCTGAACTATTTATATAGTTGTGTATTTCTGCTGTCTTGGTTCAGCCAAGTTATAAGGTTTTCATTTATATACTCTTTCCTCATCAGTCAATCCCTCCAGTTTCTTAATCATCCTTGTGGGTCTTCTGTGAACTCTCTCCAGCTGGTCCCCAGGCTCTGGTAATGAGGTGCCTTCAACTGACTGCAGCCTTCCAGGAACAGCCTAGTCAGTCAGAACAAAATGAGCTCACCCTCCTTGGTTCCACGACATAATACTCCTCAGCAGAATCCCCCATTTACAGAAAGCTGGTATATAGCCATGTTAGATTCTAACCCCATTCTGTGCCTTCCCAATTGGGCAAACCAGTATGTGCTAGAAGTGAGAGGGTAAATGGCATCTGTTCTGGTAGCATCTACAGTATTTTACTAGAGGATGAAGTGAGTAGGGAGGAAAAAAATACTTTCATGTTAAAACAAACACACAGATAATAAAATGAAATGCAGTATTTCCATAAATTTCTGAAGATTAAACACAGACACATTCAAAATATTCATATACATTTTGTACTTAAGGCCAAGAGGCTCCCAGCCCTAAGTGGTTATCATCTGCTATTCTCTATCACTATAGATACTTGAGTCAAAAAGTTTGAAAAATGTAATTTTTCATTTCAAACTTCTTTAACTTCTGGTCTAGAGTACTGTCCTCTACCATCCATGCTCTATATTCATTTTTTTCTTTTTTGAGACAGGGTGTTGGTGTGGTTCAGGTTGGCCTTGAAGTCACTATATAGCCCAAGTTGGCCTTAAACTCTCAGCGATCCTCCTGCCTCAGCCTCCTGAGTGCTGGCATGCGACATGACAGGCTATGCTAATTTTTTTTTTTTTTTAGTACCAGAGACTTAACTCAGGACCTTGCATTTATGAGGTAGGCACAGCACCACTGAGCTAAATCCCCAGCTACACTCATATTTTAAATGATATTAGTTTGCTGCTATTTCCCCAGCTCTAGATATCTATATTTACTTTCTTTCTGGCTAAAATCATTTGCTAAAACCATATGATGCATTTCATCCTCTAATTCACTGACAACCAGTATTTTTTAGTTCCTCTGCATTACTCATTCATTTCACATTTCTTGAACATCTGCTGTATGCCAGGCTGTGTGCACAAAGCTAAAGTCACAAGAATAAGACAGCATCCTTTCAAATTTCCTCTTAAAGTCAATGTTGAACCTAACCACTGAATTTGATTCAGTTCTCATCCAACTCAGTTTGCAACCTGAATCATGGAAAGAATCAAGTTCACGAACTGAAGTACCACTGTATAAAAAGCCATCTTTGGGGGGAAAAATGCAATCTTTGGTGTATGGAATTTTTTTTGTTAGCATAAATTTTTAGATTTATAATGCTGTTAACATGTATAAGTAGTCCATTTCTCTTTATTGCTGGGTAGCAGTCCATTAAATTGACATACTGCAATTTGTTTATCCATTTACCAGATAAAGGAGATTTGGATTGAATTCAGTTTGGGGCTATTAGGGATAAAGTTGCTATGAACATTCATGTACAAGTCTTTGTATGAACACATATTTTCAATTCTCTTGGTAAATACGCAGAAGTGGGACTGCTAGTTCATATGGTAAACATATTTTTAACTTACAAGAAACTGCCAAATTGTTTCCCAAAGCAGCTGTACCATTCCGCATTTCTAACAGCAATATATGACTGCTCTAACTGCTCTATGTCCACAACACTTGGTATTATCAATCTTTCTGATGCTACCTATTCTAATTGTTGTGAAGTGGTATCTCAGAGTCGTTTTGATTTTCATTTCCCTGAGAGTTAACAATATTGGACATTTTTTCAGGTGTTTATTACCTATTTGTATACCTTCCTTGGTAAAGTGTCTGTTCAAATTTTTGCCATTTAAAAAAATTGAGCTGTTTTTCTTCTTTCCACTCAGTTGTAAGGGTTGTCTTCTAAACATTAAGTCTTTTATTAGATATATATTTGGCAAGTATTTTCTGTGGGTTGCCTTTTCATTTTCTTAAAACAAACTTTTTTTTCACTTAGGAGTATATCCTCAATATGTATCCAGGTACATAAGTACATAAGATCCTAATGATATAATTGACAATGTGAAATAGGAAGAAAAGAAAAGGGCTAAAGGTGTAGGGAAAGTGGGAAGGGTAGGAGAAAGCTAATAAGGGAAAAGGAAAAAATATGAGAAAATGAAAAAAATGGAAATGAAGTGCTTGTAAAGGGGGAGGGGAAGAGGGGGTGAAGGGAGGGCAGGGACAAGGGGAAATGAGAACCACGAACTGTCATGTAAAGGTACAAGATCCCAATAATGAATGTAACTGTACTGTATACCTAAAATATACCAATAAACTCAATGAGGACCAAAAAACAAATTTTTAAAAAAACTTTCTTTTAAAGTGTAAGCATTTATAACTCTGATGAAATCCAACTTGTCAATTTCTTTTACTTTTTGTGTCCTATTTAAAACAAAAATTCTTGCCTAAGTCAAAGTCATGACAACTTTCTCCACTTTTAAAGTTTATCTAAAAGTTTCACAAAATTAAATCGTCAAAATGTTTAACATGAGCTTTTAATTCCTGCATTCCACTTCTCTCATAATTATTCAATTTCATTATCCTTTTCTTTCAAAAAAATTTCCCAATTGTCAAGCACTATTTAAATTATAGTCTATTTCTGAGTTTAGAAATATTTTTATCTTTTCACAGATTTTCCCTCACATAATAAATGGCATACCTAAATTTAGCCAAGGTTTTGGTTACTCGGTTTTCTTAAAATCAACTCCAAACTACTACATCCCTAATGCTAGTTCTGAAAACAACTAAATTCCACAATTCAGAGCATGCACCTTGGGGTTTAGCCAGGCACAATCTACTACTTATTTTTCTGGCATTAAATAGAAGGTTTTATAAGACCATTTTCACTGTATTAAGCTACTCTCACCTCTAAGGGGGATGAAAGTTGTCTTATTATCAATCATTGGTTAAATTAAAATTTAGGCTCATAAAGTTAAAATGACCAAGACAAAAGTAATTCTACATTCCTTACTTAAACTTAGAATCTCTTTCTTGCACCATTCTTTTTAAAACAAGTCAGAGCTCTTCAGGCTCAAAAATGAAATAAATAGTATATACAAAAGCACAGCTTAGATACACCATTGGCTGGAATAGAATTTGTTCCTTGGAATCATATTCAGCAGAGTTTAGAGAGAGAAAGAAAAAAAGAACTCAAAACTAATGTGAGTAAAGAAGGGAGTACAAGAAATGACAATTCACCACTGCTCATTTTATAACCACGTGGGCCATCTGGAGAAAAACAAAACAGAAAACTGTTCAGCTGTGTCCCTGTCACATTCTTTATTCTTTACCCTAGGTCCAGAAAGTATTTTCTAAAATTACTGACATATAAAAAGAGTTAATTTTTTAGAAATTTCTTTAATAATACTCTGTCCTGTAAGTTATTTCTGGTTCCCCCCCCCTTTTTCAGGGTTAAGCCAATAGCTAATTAAGATTCTTCATCACAGGGGCTGGTGATGTATTTTAGTGGTAACATGCTTACCTAGCATGAATGAATCCCTTGGTTCAATTTCAACTCTTCATTACTATTAAGGCATCTTCACCAAAGAGACCTACAAAGCTCTATAAAGACATCTATTAGAACAAAGGTTAAATTTCAAACAGATACCCAATCACAATGAAGCATCCAGCACGGGGCATGTGGCACATTCCTGTAATCCCAGCACTCAGAAGACTGAAGCAGGAGGATCGCTGCAAGTTCACGGCTAGCCTAGGCTACACAGTGAGTTCAAGGCCAATCTGAACTAAACAGTGATACCTTGTATAATAAATAAAGTACACAGAAAAAATTTTCCATGGACAATGTTTTCCAAACTATAAAATGCTAATAATACCAGTATTCTGTGTATGGTAGTTAAGAGATTTAAAGGAAATAACATTCCAATCTTTCTAGAGATGACAAAGTGGTATCTAAATCAGCAAACTAACATATATGCTTTAAAAAAAAAATTTTTTTTTTCGGTACCAGGGATCAAACTTAGGACCTTGTGCTTGTGAAGCAGGCAGCAGAACCACTGAGCTAAATCCCCAGCCCAACATTCATACTTTTGTTTGGGTATTTTTTAGGCAGGAGCTATACTCCCAACCCTTGTTTCGGTTTTGGTTTTTTTTTTTTGAGACAGGGTTTCAATACGTAGTTCAGACTGCTCTGGAACTCATTGTATAGCCCAGGCTGGTTTCGAACTTGCAGCGATCCTCCTGCCTTAGCCTCCTGAGTGCTGGGATTACAGACATGCGTCACCACACCAGGCTTGTTTGGGTATTTTTTAAAAGGTAAAATATTAGCTTCAATAAGCTACTTCCTCTTTTTTTAAAAATACAAAACAGACTACCATGTTGATACACAAAACAGGCCCCCGTGTTCCTATCCCATGGCAGCTTTTAAGCTTAGGTGACCCTGGGCCACTGAATCTTGGCCTTAACAAGAAGATTTTAGAACTAATTCTCTGAATCTGACAAGCCGTCTCCCTCAATAAGTCTAGGAAGTTGTTATTTCATTAGCTGTGCATGAAATGTCAGGCAAATAGCCAGATCTGCAACCTAGTGGGGAGAACTGGAATTGTCATACATACACTTAAAAACTAACAAAATTTCTGTGCTCGCTTCAGCAGCACATATACTAAAAACTAACACAATTTCTGCCTTTATTATGATCCATTACTTTCAATTCTATTCCTATTTTTAAGGAAAATAAATCATTTATATAACTGAAAGGAAAAACATTAAATGAACATTTTATGGTTCTGTAAGATTCCAAGAAGAGTCGGGCATGGTGGTGCATGTCTGTAATCTCAGCGATGAGGGAAAATAAGGCAGGAGGATGGCAAGTACAAGGTTGCCCACATGGCAACTCAGGAGACCCCATCTGGAGGGAGGAGGGTGGAATACGGGGACATAACTTAGTGGTACAGTATCCCTGGGTTCAATCTCCAGAAGTCAGGGGGAATTCCAAGAAGAAAATCTCAATTACACAGAAATGGCAACTTAACAGGGCTTGATTTGAAATAGAACTCAATACTTACTAGACTTAAAAAAAATTTTGGGGGGGTAAGCTAATAATCAATGTTACCTAATAAGGATTTATTAATTTATTCAAATGTGTATTAAGAACCCATCGCAGGCCAACCAATATTTTGGACCCTGAGGATTCCAAAATGAAGAATGTAATTCCCAACTCCTTAAACACACACAGTTTAGCAAAGCAAACACATAGGTAAATAACTATAATTCCATGTAACAAAATCTATGACATGAGCACAAGGTAACTTCGGTAACAAAGCCCAGGATGGGCAGTTTAATCAACATCAGTTCTTAGCTTCTCAGATAACTTCACTTTACCTTCCCAGGAGCAAAGCCAATCCTTTCACAGATTCACTAGTTCTTTGGGAATCAAGGAAAACAAAACATTCCCTATGTTCATGGCCAGTGACTTTTACTCTACAGTGCTAGTCAGAAGGGATTGCTGGACTACAGATAGAGCACAGAAAAAGCATTTATTGGAAACCTCAATCCATTTATTAAAATTACACATGGACTAACTACAATGTAGTATTCTACATTGGATTCTGAGACAGTTAAAGAACAAGTGAAAAATTTTTGAAATAAAAAAAGTCTGTAGTTTAGTTAATAGTATCATACCAATGTTAATTTTCTAGATGTGACAGATGTACCATGGTTATGTAAGAAGTTAACATTAGGAAGAAACAGATGAAAATTATCCAGGAACACTCTGAACTATCTTTTCAATTTTCCGTGTTTAAAATTATTGAACAATAAAAATTTCTTACTTACATATGGTTCCTCACTGCACATTCTCACTCCCCCTCAGGATTCTGAACATGTCCCCCTAACCACTTCCCCAACTCAAGTAATGCTAGACTAAAACTTTAAAAAATTTTTTTCAGTTCCTTTCTATAATCCATTTGCACATCCTAGCTGGGATTCATCCTTCACTAGGACATGAAAAACTAGGCTACACTAGAGGGGTTATAGCTGCTTTCTCTTAACAGCTTGACTATATACACCAGGACGTACTCTTGGATGTGAACTTCCCAAGTGGACAAGAGGTTAAAATAACTTAAGCTGGATCTCTGGATAAAGTAAAGGGATCTGTATTAACTAACGTTAATACTACTACACTATAGAAAATGTATTTTTTGTGTATTTCCTTTATCGGATCTCTGGCCAAAGGATATGATAAACAGAAAAATACAATTAATAGATGTGCACTATTACAATCCCAACACAACAGGCAAACCGCACTGAAATAAATGCTTCAGCTTGAAGAATGCAAGTAGTTACAAACACATATCTATAATAAAGTAAACCTCACAAGTTTAAGGGCCAGGGATTTAGCTCAGTGGTTCTGCTGCCTGCCTCGCAAGCGCAAGGTCCCAAGTTCAATCCCTGGTACCCCAAAAAAAAAAAAAAAAGTTTGAAAACTACTGTACAAAATATTATTGAAGGCTAAAAATGCATGAAAACTTCAAGAAAAAGAAAACAAAGAATAAAAACTAAATTTAAACCTAAGATAGTTAATGACTACAGCCATTTAAAAGGTAAAATGGTATATTAGAATTCACTAGGGTCATAAAATACAATCTCTTACAGAGTATATTGATTCCATTAATAAATACTGTACAACAGTACTCTGACCTGAACCACTTTCAGAAAGATGAGCAGATGGAGTAATTTCTCTAAAATATTACAGTTCACAAATCTCTATTCAACAACCTGCCATAATTTTAACTGTTCATAAGTCTTTCTCTGTGGTATAGGACTGAGGTCTTCAAGAGTAAGTAACACATCGCCTAGGGCAGAAAGGTGCTTCAATAAATGCTTTGTGAATGAACGGTGACAGTAATCTATTGAAGGTGTTCTTAAAAAACAATTAAATATCAAGAGTTAGGAGAATATGCCATACACCATGCTACCACATTAAGAAGGCAGTCAAGTTAATTGAACAGCCAGCAACTAAGCTTTGTTGGGGGAGTGGGGGGTCATATCATGAGTCATACAGATTAACTGTAAAAACCTAACTTAAAGATAGATAAAATATACTAAATTAATTTTGTTTACCTAGATGACCACAAAAGTGAAGCCATCTATAACTTTCTAACATTGAGAGAACACTGATTCCTAACCACCAGATCATTAGGGAGCAATGACTTTCTAATACTGAAACACAAGATGTTCTTTAGGGGACCTCTCATTAACCATAATATTTTATTAAAATTTTGTGATCAACTTAAATTACAGTAAGTTAGATCAATTAGTGAATGAAGTCTAAGCCCAAGCATGTGTTCAAACTGTGGCACCAATGCCTTGATGGAGTCTTTCTTTCAAGACTGCAGAAAAATATAAAATAACTTCTTGATTGCTGAGAAAGACTAAAATAATTTCTTCTCCTCACGCAAAAGCATTTACTTGCCAGGGGCACTGGTGCATGCCTATAATCTCAGCAACTCAGGAGGCTGAAGAGATCACAATTTCAAAGCCAGTCTGGGCAAATGAGCAAGATTTTTAAAAGGGGAAGAAAAAAGGCTGAGGATGTAGCTCAGTCATACAGCAACTGCCCAGCATAAGGCACTGAGATCAATCCCTAGTGTGTGTGGGGGGAGAGGGTGGCGATCTTTAATTTTTGCTCCCATCCAACACAATCAACATCACCTCTCCCCTTTCCATCTCCATCAAAGAATGCTATAGAATATCTGGTACCTTAATCATAATTACAATGAAACAAGCCAGGCATGGTGGCATGTGCCTACATCCCAGCACTTGGGAGGTTGAGGCAGGAGGGTCACCCTGAGTTCGAGAGCAGCCTGGGCTACCTAGTGAGTTCAGGGCCAGCCTGAACTACAAAGGGAGATCTTGCCTAAAAACAAAACAAACAAACAAAAAAAATGAAGCAAAAACTTTTTTAAAAGTACAGGCTCACTGGGCATGGTGGTGCACGCCTGTAACCCCAGCACTTGGGAGGCTGAGGTAGAAGGATCGCTGTGAGTTCAAGACCAGACTGGGCTACCTAGTAAGTTCCAAGTTCCAGGTTAGTCTCACCTACCGAGTGAGACCCTGCCCCCACAAAAAAATGTACTGGCTCATTCTCTATGGTGTTCCTATACTAAATCAGCCCTCGGGAATTAACAATCAAGAAAATTGGAAAATTCTCAGAATAGAAATTAAAACTGTTTTTTAAAAAAAATTATTATTGTTCATGGATTCCAAAATTCTGGATACTTTACCAGGAAAGTGTTTTTCTGTCAGTGCCTAAATTTAAATGCAAATTACTATTTACTTATATGTAATTTCCCTGTACCACAAACATAATATTAATCAGTCTCTAAGTATTTTTTTAAAAAATAACTGGCCATGTTTACCTAAAAGTTTATTTACTAATAATCAAGGGGTTTTAATGTATAGCAAAAAGTGGCTGCCAATAGCTCTACATGAGACAGCTTGAGAGAGATGAGCTGTTCTGAAAAGACTAGGAATGCCTAGTGACCTCAAATGAAATAAAACAAGTACATACAGTAGCTATAGATGTTTCAATAATAAAACTATTTCAACATAAAAAAATTCAGAGCCAATGATATATAAACTATAAAGCTACCTATTAATGCATTCATGCCTAAAAAATAGTAGGAAGAACACTAGGTCTACATCCAAATCAACACAAGAAATTGCTCTGCAATTAATTTTTTCAAGACCTGAAAACTTAATAAGGTTTTTTTTTTTTTTTTTTTTTTTTTTTTTTTTT